GAATCTAACTTACAACGCAGTTTACGTCATGGTTTTTTTACAATATACATTTATTTTCTTATATGTACACAGTTAGCTTATGACAAAGAAATGTAGCGAGCGTTTTTCTATTCAGAAGGATTAAATTTTAGTAAATTAGATATTTCTCAATTATAATTTGCACGCATGTTATGCAAAGTTTATATTACAAACTTTAAAAATCATGTAAATCATAAAATTTATATATTTAAAATTTAGAAGCTCTTACATTATCGAAGATATATGCAAAGAGTCGATAATCTTAACAAGAGGTTGCTAAATAAGATAAATGTATTCAATGAAGCTTATTGTGAAATAAACAACAATAAAAATAATAATTCAATATATAAAAAACATAGCATATAACATTATAAATTTTATAAACATCACAGGTTATATGAGTGATGCGTTCATTCGATATGATATATGCATATATATGTTTGACAATATACGCTACTTTGTAATATAATATATGCAGAAGAAAGACAATATAATTTAGAAATTTTTTAAAATAAAGAAACATTTAAACTTAAATTAAAAAAATTATGTTTTATGCCAATTCATCATCAAACATTTTTTTATATAAAATGTATAGAAAAAAAAACGAGTAATTATTAATCTTTTCAGAAACATATATTTTCAAAATTAAAAAATGTAACATAATTTGTTTTTAGTTATATTTTAAATTTTAATTTAAATCTCTAAAAGTAAAAAAAAAATAAAAATTATAAAAATATTCTTCTATGCCTTTCTAATTTTCTTCTGTCGTTGATACTTTTGAAACAAATCAAATTGTATTGTATGTATATATGTATATAAATATTAATCATCTCTGAAGAGGTTAACTCACCGCAATTAACATAAAGAGCGTAGAATTTTTTCAGAAAGCAAGAGAGATATTCTTCATAGTTGAACTTTACATTTTTTTCTTCTTTTCTCTTCAATGTGTAATTGTATATATTTATATCTCACTGTAAATATACAAAAAATTTAATATAGTGTAATTACAACGAACCAAAGATATCTTTACAATGAACAGAGTTACATACTAATGATATGAAGTTGAATACAAGTATCTCCCGCCAACATTACCTACCCAGCATCTACAGCCAATCGTTGCACGCAATTGGCGTGAGCGCTCGTCATTGGTTAATCTTGTTCTACAAGCCTGACAGCTGAGTCATATAGATAGTATCGTAGACAATTGACAGATCGAAAGCTAAATCGACGCAAACAAAGTGGAACTAGTGGGTTACGATGATACACTTGATAATGCTACGCGTTTGACGATACATACAATTATATATTATTTTTTATACATAAATCTCAGTTGTTTTAATTTGTTATTTCTTTGTGACACAGATAGAATAGAACACGTTGAATCAGCAGGTATGATATATTCAGCAACGCATGCAATTGTTCAATTTAAATTAATTCCTTTGTTTCTGCTGGTTTCTGCAGCGTCATCAATTAATCTAACATATCATTTGATGCTGTTTCAAATGTATAGAAGCAAGATGCTTTGGAATATTGCGTTCGTAGTCTTATCTTTTTTATTTACTACATCTGCTACTGTGATACATTATCAGCCAGAAGCTGTGCATCTTTCCTATGGTGGTGAGTGTTTTATGATATTAATATGTGAATATATATCTCACGCCATGACACTGGGCATGATAGCTATCGTGTCTCCAGATATATAATGTAATATTTTTTAAATCATGCTTTAAAAAATATAACATTAAGAAATGATATTTAAGTGTTTCTATATAAACATCTTTATATTTGCTTATTAAAAGAAATAATTAGTATATTAATATGCTCTCAATATCCTTTCAGATAATATTCACAACATTGTTGTCACTTGGAGCACAAAAAATGATACGAAAGAATCGATAGTGGAGTATGGTATAGGTGGCTTTATTCTGCGAGCTGAAGGAAATTCTACTCTCTTCGTTGATGGTGGTGAAAAGAAACAAAAACAATATATCCACCGAGTGTGGCTAAAAAATTTAACTCCCAACAGCAAATATAGTAAGACATGCATTTTATTGTTTGCTACTAATTATTCTCAATTGTTATTGCACTAATAATGAATGTTTGACTATTTATTGTCAGTATATCATTGTGGTAGTCATTATGGATGGTCAAATGTATTTTATATGAGAACTGCACCTGAGGATTCTGTAGATTGGTCACCACAAATAGTTATCTTTGGTGATATGGGTAATGAAAATGCACAGAGTTTGTCACGATTGCAAGAAGAGACAGAGCGTGGTTTATATGACATTGCCATTCATGTTGGTGATTTTGCTTATGACATGGATACAGAAGACGCACGTGTAGGAGATGAATTTATGCGGCAAATTGAATCCGTTGCTGCTTATATACCATACATGACTGTACCTGGCAATCACGAAGAAAAATATAATTTTAGCAATTATAGGTAGGAAAGATCACAAAAGTAACACGGGACGAACGTAATAGATAAACTGAATATCGTACGTACTCTAACGGGCCATAAGATGGAATGCTTTAATAAGTATAAAAACAATCTCAATCGTCATGTATTTGTTTATGTGTGTTTTTACATCTGTTTTACGTTTGTTTCTTCCCTATTTAAAGTTGTATTCTAAAATTCATTGCGCTGAAAATTTATATTACATACGTCATAAATTTTCAGCATTAGTAGTGAATTGTAAAATAGCCCAAGTACTTGCTCGATCATTTGCAATTTGCTATCAATTTCATATATTGATGAAATGATTTAATCTCATCTTTTTAATAATCTTCCAGAGCTCGATTTACTATGCCAGGTGATTCAGAAGGCTTGTGGTATAGCTTTAATGTAGGTCCTGTACATTTTGTAGCTATAGAAACTGAAGCTTATTATTTTATGAATTATGGTATAAAACAAATGGTTAAACAATATGAATGGTTGGATAAAGACTTACGAGAAGCTAATAAACCTGAAGCAAGGTACGTTGTCAATTAAATCATAACACACAATATAATGATGATTGACACAGAATTATAATTACAGAGCTCAACGTCCATGGATAGTAACATTTGGACATAGACCAATGTATTGCAGTAATAAAAATGCAGACGATTGTACTAACCATCAAAATCTAATTAGAGTTGGATTGCCATTTTTAAATTGGTTTGGATTGGAAGATCTGTTTTTCAAACATAAAGTAGATTTAGAAATCTGGGCGCACGAACATAGTTACGAAAGGCTGTGGCCTATTTATAACTTTCGAGTAAATGTTGTTTATTAAGTTTATTTTAGGAAAAATATTTACTTGCTAATAAGTTGAAAATTATTCTCGTAGGTATACAATGGTAGTTATGAAGAACCATATACAAATTACAAAGCGCCTGTACATATAGTTACTGGATCAGCTGGTTGTAAAGAAGGTCGAGAGAAATTTATTTCAAATCCACCGGCATGGTCCGCATTTCGTAGTTCAGATTATGGATATACAAGAATGAAGGCATTCAACAAAACTCATTTATATCTAGAACAGGTATGACATAAATATCATAACAAATTCTGCAAACGTGATTTTTTTGTCAAATTATAAACTATTTCTACTTAATAATAGGTCTCCGATGAGAAGGATGGTGCTGTTTTAGACAGAGTTTGGCTCGTGAAAGAGAAACCTTTACCACAGTATGTAGAAGCTTTTCCTATAAATTAATGTAACAATAATTTTAATTAGCGCCATATTACAAACCAAAATAGCGACGTTAAAAAGAGACATTTATCGAATTATACGTTTACAGTAAATAAGAAATTTCTTTTACTTTCGACTGTGTATTATACGTATAATTGTAATTCGAATTTACACATTTTAGCGGTCATACTATGGTCGAAATGTATACATAAACAATAAAATACGTTATATTTACGTATGAGCGAGTAAAAAATTAGTAAATGCAAAAACGTATAATATAATCCTTTAATTGTTAAAATATAAATATATGCATATATATAATTATTATAAGTATATATAATAGTTTTAATAATATATACACACATATACATACAAATGTATATGTATATGTATATATGTATATATACATAGTATTAGTGTATAAGATTTCATATTTCCATCTAACTCTCATAATTAATCACTATTTAATGATACATAAAGATATAACGAATAGCCTTGACTGTTTCTTAGGAAAACATTTTTTCCAATTTAAAATTCATTATAATTAGACACGTGTGAGTATTTCGAAGTTCCACATATCACGTATTATATGACTATATTTCGGATAGAACTCATTCGAGCTGTTATTTTCAAATTGTTCCAATCACTCTAATTGTGGCTACTATATATTCAAACCTATGATTTGTTATTACTGTAAGCTTTTACGTTTATAAGTTTCATCAGTGAGTTCTTGAAACATGTGAATTCATCTAAATGATATATTAGATTAAGTATTTAGTCCCAATAAGTAAAATAAAATAGTAACTGATGATTATTCTATATTTTCATATTTGCATTCAAATATGATTATATTATTCGCACTAGGGAGTAATCGTTTATTAGGCACTTTAATCACAATTATGCACAAACCTATGTTGATGTCATTAGAGTCTGGTTTCACTTTTATATGATATGAATAATGAATAATTTATTTCATTATACATATATATCATTATCTTCATCGAAAATTATTTTTACATTTAAAATATTTTTAGATTATCTAAAAGAATGTAGATTTGCAGGCAGTAAAAAATTGATTTACATATGCATTTAAAAAACTATTACTTTCAAATATATAGTATTTATATACACTGTTAAAAATGTTATAAAATTTAATGTACTTTTAGGTTACATAAATTCAATTTTATAACATTATATATTAATTTTGCTTCCATTACATATAACAGAAGCAAATTTTTGTTTTTTTTTAACAGTGTATATAAATAAAATGAATGTTAATTAATTTTGGTGGTCCAAAAATTTTTCCATTATCAAGAAAATGGAAAATTTATGATACGATAAAATCTTAAAGTTATTATCTTTTAGATTTTAAGCTGTATTGGATAATTATGAAATTGAATATCTTGGTTAAACTTTAAGCTTATGATTCAATAATAAAAAGTATCCAATTACAATAGTATAAAGAATTTGATTTCTAATATTTTTTTATACATATGCATTTATTATTAAATTAACGTATTTTGATGGTTAGGAAATAAATACCTAGAAAATATTTAAGCCACGAGTTTCTTTTGAACAACTTCCTTTTCCAAACAATTCCAAAAATAGTCAAACATTTATTTCGAATAAGTTTCCGAATTCTATACAGCCCAGAATTTTCCGAATACTCGCACATCTCCAATTATATCAGTCATAATAATGACAATTTTCATAACTCTAAAAAAGTGATCTCCAATTTATACAATAATTCAATTAAAGCTGATATACTACACATTTAACTTTCACAGTAGACAAACTATTTTCTTTTTCGTTAGCTCTTTACCAGTTGCAATTTTCTATTTTTTGGCATCTGCCATAACAGTCATCTATTGAATTAAAAAAAAGATCAGGAACTGCCCTTCCATAAATAAGATAATAAACGGTGATAATGAAGTTGGAAAGTGTCAAGTGCAGCTTTTGTTAAATGAAAAATTATACTTACGATTATCGCACGTTCCTTGATGACAAGAAAATTATTCAATATTCACAATACATGTCTCAAGGAATTTTAGTTAACTTGATTCAATTAAGAACGTAATTTAATCCCTGTCATATTCCTTCGAGTCTATATGCAAATATTATTCGTACTATCTCATTCTAATCTTATAGTATACATTTTTCCATATACAATTTTAATGAATAATTATGTGTATAGGTGTAATATGCGCGCGCACACTTATACGCATAAATCTAATTATTTTGCCATTGGAGATATGTGACAATCTCTTAAGATGCATTAAAAAAAAGCATCATAAAGAAAGATAATTTGATTGATCTGCCTATTGGGAAAATTTCAAGCTTTGCAGACAATCATCAGATACATATCGTAATTAAATTTTTTTGCTCGAAGTTTTCATGCATTGAACGACATCTCATTACATTAATTAAGCAAAACACTTGACACTGTCAGTGATTAATAGAAACAATGGAAGAAGTTGCTGCTGAATGACTTTCCTGGTATGAAAATTGGGGAAAATGTTCTTGTTCTTCTGCTATAGAATTCAAACCCCCTCCACTACCCAAACAGCCCTGATCTGGGGGTGTAAGTTCAACACTTTCGCCGGTAAATTCACTATCAAAATATCGAGTGTCAATATCTGAAGTCACTTGCGGCTTAAAGGGTGGAGGAATCTTCTTCTGGACAAGATCTGTCCAATTGATACATGAGAAAAATGCATGATTCATGATGTCCTTTGCATCATTAGGTCCACCGCCTAATCTTTTACTTGGATCCTTTATTAATAAACCTATAAAAATAGCACAAATATAAATTTTTTTTTCATTTAAACATGTTTGTAATTATTGAAGTTTGTAGTATTTACCACCAAGCATTTCTCTTGCTTCATTGCTAATCGTCCTAGGAAATCTTACTTCTTCCAATAAAATAAGCGTAAATAGCTTTTCATGATCTTTGTTATAAAAAGGTAATCGACCACACATCATTTCATACATGACTACACCTACACCCCACCAATCCACAGCTCGTCCATAATCGTTATCTTCAAGTACTTCTGGTGCCAAATACTCTGGTGTTCCGCAAAATGTCTTTGTTGTTCTTCCTATGATTATATAATTAATCTCATCAAAATTTTTATTTAACACTTTATTAGTTTTAATTTAAAATTATATAATAATATAATGGTTCAATAATTTAAAAAACAAGTTAAAAGAAAAAGGGCTACGAGCCAAAAATTTTACCTATAAAATTGGAAGATAAGTAAAAAAATGTTTTAATAAATTAATTATGAAATTTAATAATAACATTTAATAACAACGTTTCGATCACGATCGGATCATTATCAATGTTTACAAAGTACGTTTAACAAACAACATAACAAACCAAAAGTATGTCTAAACGTAACAAACATAACATAACATAACATAAAGTCAATCGAAAATTGAAAATATACTTCGCATTGAATAACTATAATTGTTGGTATCAATTAAGAAGGATCTTGTTAGTTAAACTAAACAATAACAAACATAAAATACATACATTAGAATTTATCAAAAAAATAAAAACTTATACTATGGTCGGTCGATGGCAAATGAAAATATATTTCGCAATGTCAAGACATCTAGCTGTTGATATGAATAATGCCGATCGTGATTGAAATATTTGTTGTTAGCCGGCATGTTATTAAATTTCATAATTAATTTATTAAAACATTTTTTTACTTATCTTTCAATTTTATAGGTAAAATTTCTGGCGCTTTTTCTTTTAACTAGTTTTAATTTATCTTTCAATTTGCGAATGTGATACAAACCATACGTAATATCCTCCTTGCACAAACCAAAGTCAGCAATTTTAATATGCCCATCTTTATCCAAGAGGAGATTTTCCAGTTTGAGATCACGGTATATAATGCCTTGCGAGTGCAAGTAACCTAAGGCCGATATAATCTCTGCGCCATAAAATCGAGTACGATCTTCGCCAAATACCCGTGATCGACTCAAATGGAAAAATAATTCGCCACCGTTAACATATTCCATAACAAAACACAACCTGTCCGCCGTTTGAAAACTGTATTTCAAAGACTGAAAATTTACGAATATGTTTACAATATCATAATTCGATACAGACAGCTTTTATCCTACAAATTATAAAATTGCAAAAAATATCTAATAATAATGTTAATACATTAAGCAATATTTTACGTACGATTAAAAAAGGATGATTAGTAGTACGTAATACTCTGTTTTCAGTAAGTGTATGTGCCACTTCATCTTTACGAATAATAACCTCCTTTCGTAAAATTTTAATAGCGTATAAATGTCCTGTCGCTTTTTCTCTACAAAGAATTACCTTTCCAAATGTTCCTTTCCCCAAAACTTTTAAAAATTCAAAATTTTCCAGTGTCTGAAGCAAACATGAATAGAAATTATGAATAAATTAATCTTTGTATTTATTTTTTATATATTTAATACTTTCTATTATATATAAAAATAAATAATATTTATATATGCAAGGACGTAACTTATAACTGAGTAATGCGTTTCTCAGAAAAAATGATTTAACTAAATAATTAAAAATACAAAGTTTAAAAACTTACCACTTTCTTCTTGCCGGTACTTTTACTACTTGAAGTTCCTTGAACACTGAATTTTGCTGATAATTCATCGATACTACCACCGTCTATATCAGAAGATACAACACCTAAGGAACTACAAGAGTCAGACCTAGCACCTACTGACGATTCCATATCAACATCCTCCGAAGAAGAAGATTGTTGCATTTGTGGTTGTTCTTGTTGTTGATTTTCTTCATTTGCTAACCTATCTGCTACATATCTGCAAAAAAATATGAGGAAGATAAAATGAGTTAGATAAAATATTGAAAAATGAAGCATCAAAGAATTCAACATTTTAGAGCTTGCAGGAGTGCTATTAAAATCAAACCTGATCGCTGCTACCCAGTCTTCCCTTTCTTGTTCCGTTTCCACATGAAACGTCCTTTCGATTACAGTTGTCCACTGGAGGCCTCTGATAACAAATGTATAGGGTTTAGGTCTGTCCACTGACATTATTTGGCACCCACGCACTGTAAAATTATTTAATGGCTGGGTAGATGTTTGCGTAGCCATCTGTGGATCAGGTTTCGCCTTGAATCCAACCAGTGTACCATCGTCTCTCAAGACAAAATATCTTGACCTCCAATTTTTAATGTGCTCTCCTACAAGAAATTATATGCATTTTAATTCTTTATACATGAATACTTGATTGAGAGAATTCAAATTCAAAAATCTTTAAATGCTTGAACTTTCCTGTTTAAATTATTCCTCAAATCTTCTTATAAGGACATTATAAAATTTCCTTTTAATATTTAATAAATAAAATAAAAAGTAAAAAAGAAAATAGAAATAAAATAGAAAAAAATTATATTAAACATGATTTTTTATTAGAGGATCCAATATTAATTTAATTTTCCCCAAGACGCTTCGTCGCTTTTATATTTTGTCCACTGGGCTACAAAAATGTGATTGTTTAAAAAAAAAATACGAAAACAAGGTAGATTTTTAATTTCTACGAAAGTATAAAAGCGATATTCCGTCTTTGCTTAGACATAAAAATAAGATTTCATCAAGGTGGGTCTCCCATCAAGGTTCCACGTTCAAGTAGACGGAACGGATAATTCGTAAATAATTTCGTAAGAAATAATTTGACATTATTTTCTCTTTTGCATTGCATTCGACGACAGGCAGCGGCACGTGTTCGTAACACCCAGCCCGCGCGTGACATACGCTTGTGCGTAACTACGTAGAGAGGAGTGCACGACAGTCGGAGCAGTGGAAGCTCTGGACTTCGATAAACATTAGGCAAAACATAAATATACGCTGCGACGTTCATCGCTGCGTCCCCCATCACTCGCTCGTCGATACGAACTTGTCGATATTCCGGCGACGCTCCAAGTTCCGTCTTACGTCGGGAATCTCACAAAAATCGCGAACACGCAGTAGCGGGAGTGGTGCGCGTATGTAAACTGGAGTAATCATAGATACGCGTGCGGCAGGTAATGCATATGTACATACACACTGACCGTCGACGTGATCACGCTGAAACTGAGATACGTCAGAAGCGGCGCGACGATCGCTCCAAGTCTAAAGTCACGTTTTCATGGGAGGACAAACTGCCAAGTAAATAGGTCCAAATGCTGAATTGCACGGTTTAACTTTTTTTTTCTTTACATACTGAAGAAAAAAAAAGAGAAGAATAATTTAGTTGAAGAGAAGTACAGCTGAAAAGAAAGACTCAATAGTTATTAAATAGTTATTTGATCCAACCAATCACATCAATCAGAACACAACAGGTTTGTACAACCGTTTTATGATTGTCTGCTGAGATAGGACCATTCTTCTAGATCTGAAAATATGGGTCATTTAAAAAGTATCCGCGATACTTTGTCATTAGATATATGACTATCAACACACATCTAGTGACAAAAAACCGCGGATACTTTTTAGATGACCCAATATAATCCAAATAGCGCGAAGAAAATTTCCAACAGTTGCAAGACGGTTTTGCGCACGTCTTGCTTATCTGCAAAAATTCTATCGAAGACAGTTAGACAGCAAAATAAGTAAAGATGGCGGTTACCATGGATTCTGTAAGAGAAAAAGCGCTTCAAGATTACCGAAAGAAGCTTTTAGAACATAAAGAAGTCGAGTCACGTCTCAAGGAAAGTAAGATATTTTCGTAAATATTATAAATTTTATGTAATAAAATTTCATTTGCAAAGTATATATCTCAGAGGCTCATAACCTCTCACATCTCTCTTGTCAAGTTTTATTTAGTTTATATTTTATTCGTAGAGACGTTTTTCTTGTGATATTATTGTATTGATATTTTTTTTGAACTTTTTGTTTTATATATATATATATATATATATACATACATATATATTAGGTGTAATAAAAAGAAATCTATTATTTTTTCAATAGATGGCTTTAGTAATCTGTATCACGCGTAGACGAGATACAGATTACTAAAGCCATCTATTAGAAAAATAATGGATTTCTTTTTACTACACCTAATATGTCTTACAATAAATTTATTTTAAAACCCACAAAATGTACATACTTTTTAGTGAGAGAACATCTTAAGGATCTGACAAAGCAATATGACAAGTCTGAAAATGATTTAAAGGCATTACAAAGTGTTGGACAAGTATGTTGTCAAAATGTTATAACTTAATAATTTATGATTATCTTTATGTTTATCTCTATATTTCATTTTTATCTTACAGATTGTTGGAGAAGTATTGAAACAACTTACAGAAGAAAAGTGTAAGTAATCAATTTATATTGACTAATGTACGTCTGCATCTCTATCTTATTATATTTAATTTTAAAAATGGCTAAAAATTTCAAGTTTTATTACAGTGCTGTTTGCATTTTGTAAGAACAATGAGATATACATTTAATATAATAATATTAACATAAATATTTGTTGTATAGTTATAGTGAAAGCAACAAATGGTCCACGTTATGTTGTTGGATGTCGACGTCAATTGGACAAAAATAAATTAAAATCTGGAACTAGAGTTGCTTTAGATATGACAACTCTTACAATTATGCGTTATTTACCACGTGAGGTAAAAAAATTCACTAATGTATCTTTAGAAAGATTGGTTTCTAATTCTTCAAAAATTTATTCATATTGTTGCTTTTTAGGTTGATCCATTAGTTTATAACATGTCTCATGAAGATCCTGGCCATGTTACTTATTCTGCAATCGGTGGTTTGAGTGAACAAATACGCGAATTGCGTGAAGTTATAGAATTGCCATTATTAAATCCTGAACTTTTTCAAAGAGTTGGAATTACTCCTCCCAAAGGATGCTTGTTATATGGTCCTCCAGGTACTGGAAAAACATTATTGGCAAGAGCTGTTGCCAGTCAGTTAGATGCAAATTTTTTGAAAGTTGTTTCGAGCGCTATTGTTGATAAATATATTGGAGAATCGGCTAGACTGATTAGAGAGATGTTCAATTATGCTCGTGACCATCAACCTTGTATTATATTCATGGACGAAATTGATGCTATTGGTGAGTATACGATATTTTTAATTTAAAGAAATATCTAGATTAAGAGAGAAAATTATAGGTTAAATATTAATAAAATTAATATTTATTTTTACATATATGTAGGTGGCCGCAGATTTTCGGAAGGGACAAGTGCTGATCGAGAAATTCAGAGAACTTTGATGGAGTTGTTGAATCAAATGGATGGATTTGATTCTTTGGGCCAAGTTAAAATGATAATGGCTACAAATAGACCTGATACTTTAGATCCTGCATTATTACGACCAGGAAGATTGGATAGAAAGATTGAAATACCGCTTCCTAATGAACAAGCTCGTTTAGAGATTTTAAAGATACATGCCTTGCCAATTGCCAAACATGGTGAAATCGGTAAGAAATTAGTTCATTCTTAATCTTTCAAGTATTTTAAATATTTTATTTTACAATATTATATAAATATACATGCAAATGTAGATTATGAAGCTGTGGTTAAACTCTCTGATGGATTCAATGGTGCTGACTTAAGAAATGTGTGCACAGAAGCTGGCTTGTTTGCAATACGATTAGAAAGAGAATATGTGATACAAGAAGATTTTATGAAAGCTGTCAGAAAAGTTTCTGATAATAAGAAACTCGAATCGAAACTAGATTATAAACCTGTGTAATTCGATATAAAATATTATCATTTTATATTTCAAAAGTAATATTAGACGTCTATTAATTTTATATGACCCAAGTGGATCATTCAATATTGTCTTACTAAAAATTATTTTTATTTTCTATAATGAAATTATATTTGTGTAGAAGAGAGTTTACATTCAGCATTAACACATTAGCAAATTTATATGATATAACCAATAACATTGGTATAATCTAAAATGATTGATGTAAAATAAATATAGAAACCTTTGTTTTTCTTTCTGATTTTGCTAGATTATTGCGAATATTTATTTGCATATTTTACAAAATATTAAATATCGTATTTATAACATTTGTAAGAATTATAATCTACTCTGTATTGCCTGCAAGACGAATTTTTTTCCTTTCTTGATATTCCTGCACATTATCATATTTTCTTTTATATAAAACGGGAAACAAGTTTCGTTTAACAATAGTATTTTTTAAAATTTGCCAGGAGATATTGAGACATTTGATTGTAGAATTCAGAGCATCGTGAGTTACAAATCTATCGTTATCGAATTTGAATACTCGCAGTCCTACATCTGTTAATACCCACAAATCTTGTTTGTGTAAAAGACATTCGATAGGTTCAGTTTCTACGGTTATAGATTCTAAATAATTTGCTTTTAACTGTGTGTTTTTGTCACCACTAATTCTATAAACTAACAGTATTTTGCTACTATAAAAACTTATTATAATTAAAGATTCTATTTTACTAAAATAATATACTCTGAGATATTTGACAGGCAATATATCTACAGATTCGTCATACTGACAATCACGGAGGTCTTGATTAAATTTTTCTATGTCACATTTTGATATTTTATCGTAAAAATTGACAGACATTAGTTCACTACCGCATTTATAGTCCCACAATTTAAAAACTCCATCACCACCGCACGATATTAGGATGCTCTTCTCATGAGGCAACTCTGAGATATTCGTCACGAATTTTTCATGTCCCAAGCAGTAAGATATAATGTTGTAACAGTTGGGAAACATGGAAACTCTTATTTTTTCATCTCTATCAGTTGTTAGAACGTACTTCATATCTTGCGTGACAAGTACATCGAGAAGCATTGACAAATGGCCCAAGATGAAGGTTCCAGCTTCCGTTGGGCAACTAGTGGAAAACAGGTAAGCATCTCCAGCCTTATCTGCTATCACAATATCGTTGTTCGGTGAGAATCTCACTCTGCTTGCAGCCCTGATGAGCGTTCGATTTGACAGGAGTTTCAAGTCCTTTGTTTCGTACAAGCACAGTTGCTTGCGATTCGTGCATACCGCAAAATATTTCCCATCTTCTGAAAACGCTAGAGACGTTATCATGTGATAAGTCTCGATATCCACTTTGTTGTGCACGTCTATCTTCTTCTCCGACTCCAGATCGGGCAAAATTATCGTGTTTTCGGTATTATTGTCAATATCGTGCATTATTACACGTTCATTATTACACAAAGCAATGTACGACTCGTACACAGAAAAGCTCATTGTTGTAATATTCGTGAAAGCTCTTAAAATAACGTTATTGTTCGCAGCAATGAACGAATGTTCAATCTCTAATGTTGTACATACGCGCATCAATACAACGATGCAACACGTGTACTTACAACCTAACCTAACCTAACCTAACTTTTGTATAGATAATGCGGTGCAGCGCCAAGCGGTGATATCGAGCGTATTTAGCAGACACCTGCAGACACGACAATTGAGTAAGGGACTCCACACAATAAAAGGAATAGGGAACAGAGAATAGAGAATAAGAATTTCAACTTATCAGAAACTGTGTATTCCACAATAGATGATTTCTGATAGGTTGAAATTCTTATTCTCTGTTCTCTGTTCCTTTTATTGTGCGGAGCACCTAAAAGTCCTACTATTAGTGCATTCTTTTAGATATAAAAATCTGATTGGATAACCTAGAAGAATACACCAACACAGCGAACGAACTCGACTGTTGAGTTCGCTGAATCGTTGAATACGTCCAATAGGTCCGTTCAACAAAATGTGTGTATTATGCAGTTTTCTTCGCGCTGATTAAGCTATATTTTTCTATTTAGAGCTAAGGTTGATATTACATTTGTCATACGACAAAAATGCACAAATGAAAGTAACGGCCTAAAGCCTCGAACACAACGAAGGAATATCGATAGCGATAGAAATAAGGGGATCCGCATTCAACCTATCAGAAACTGTGTATTCCAATATATGATTTCTGATAGGTTGAAATTCTTATTCTTTGTTCTCTGTTCCCTGTTTCTTTTATTGTGCGAAACCCCTAACGCGATATCAACCTATCCCGGATTACACAGTTTCTGATAGGTTAGAAATCGTGTAATTTTTATCACTATCGCTATTCCCTCGCGTTGTGTCTGGGGCTTTAAAGCACGGTTTACAATAAGTTGCCAATGCACCATTAGCAGTCGCAATGCTTCACGACGGCCAATCAGAAGCATCACCAATTACTATTGACGCTTCTGATTGGCTGTTGCTAAGCTTTGCAACTTATTGCAGACGCTTAAGGTCGGAATCAGACTACGCATTGAAGATTGAGATTGAAGATTGAAAGATTGAAATTTGACCAATCAAAACTATAGGAGCTAAAATTCCTTTGTCTTCATTGATCAAATTTCAGTCTTCAATCTTCAATCTCAATCTTCAATGCGTAGTTTGATTCCGGCCTAAGACCATTTCAACCAACTCCATTGATTAACTTTAATCAATGATGGTCCATTTAAATTGACCAATCGCATTTGTCAACGACAGTTGCAACGCAGCCTGGATTCACTGCGTGAGTCAATCCTGCAAAATTAGTATTCTACCGTTGCATTTTTGAACGATAATAAATTCCAATAATAAATCATTAGTGATTAGTCACATCAAGTCAAGTCAATCGACATATAGGTATCGAAAGGAAAGCCGATTTTCGCCAACATTTTTATCGCGCGATCCGGTTTGATTGTGATTCAGTTTCAACCGAGAAACCGTTTGACGGTTATTCCACCGCGCTTACGTCTTCGTGAGTTTTCGAACGCACAATTTCATCCGGTTACTCCGGCGGCCCCGGCTAGTCCGGTCGGACGACGCACAGGAGTGCGTGGAGCGGAGTATAATACAATCGCGTCTGTTTGCGATCCGTCCGGGAGTTCGTAGTGTCGACGAGTTACGGCTAACAGCTGGACCGATCTCCATATTTCTTCATTCTTCAACGTCACGTCGAACATGATAGAAATTATCCGACGGACAACGACACGCCGTACTATTCCGTAGACGATCCCAGGCTATAAATATCGAGATAAACGGCGCGGCGGGGATTTAAATTTGGATCGTATCGAACGGCACAACCGGCCGGAGGGGTAGGACGAGGACTATTTTAAAACGATTGGGAGACGGTTTTATGTCGGTTTCGGTACGACAAATATCCGACGCGTTTGCGATTGACGTCAACGAGGTTCTCTTCGTATAGTCTGTCTTCGTCGTAACTGCCGTTAATATGGGGATAATACTATCCAGATTTCAGGTGAGTATCGAGATCTCTTTCTGTGACATTTCGTTGAGGTTAGTACCAATCATATATGTACGGCGTTCCGCACTTATTTATCTGTGGTTAAACATCGAGCAATATTTCTAAATATCATTCATGTCCTATTTATAGCCGTGAATCCGTTTGGATGACGACAGATTCGTAATCGCGTAGATTGCGTTAACCTTGGGGCGAAGCAATAACTTTGGGTCCTTTTTTCTAAACGTAACGAGACCGCAAGACGGCTCATAATTAGCCGTATGATTAGGTTTTTTTATCTGACATCTTTTTTAAACTGTATATGAGTCCTTGGGTTCGTCGTGCGATTTCCCTGATGCCCACCATTGTCATGAGTAAACAAAAACGGTCGATAAATTTATTCCGCAGGGATATTGCGAGACCCAAACATTAACATTCAATGACGAACTTCGTTTTAATTTACACGCGTCATTATTGCGAAGGAATTATATTATGGATGCATGAACGATATGCGTTGTTATTTTGTAAATTGAAATCGAATTATCTTTTAGTATTTATTTAGTTTAGTAGCTATTTAGTTTATCTTTGTCTTTTTAATCATACGAATATCTATACAAAGCCTACTCCATAAATATATAGTACAAAGGAAATGTATTTTACAAGACTTATTTTTTCCTATCGTATTTTTTCAATACTCAATTTAATATTTTACAGAAAAACTATAAAAATATTGAATAGAAAAAAATTGGAAAATTTAGAAAAAATTTATGCTACAGTTTTATTTTTTTCACAAGAGAAGTTACTCTTTATCACGATTTTCGTTAAATGTTTTTTTTTTGTGTAAAGAAATATATTTATATAAGGTATACACATTATAATGTAAAATATATGTTTTTCAGAAAAAAAAGACAACCATTGAAATTTTGGAGAGTCTAGATGCAGTGAGTATTATTTTATTGTTACTGCGTGATATATATTATAAAATGACATTACGTAACTTCCTTTTCTAACAGCAAATCAAAGACATCCAACAATATGGACAGACTACGGAACAAAGACACAAAAAAATAGTAGGAACTATCATCATTTATGGAGTTGTCCTTTATGTTATGATAGCATTCATCTTTTACTTTTGTTTCTTCCCAGCGTCATTATACGATCAGATCTTTTATATAACGCCATTATTACTTTTCCCAATTTTGTAAGTATGCAAATATGAGACACTTGTTGATTATAATTGTACAATATATGGATCTTTTTAACTAGGAAATGTGATCAAATACATTTTCCTTTCAGAATACTTTTAACAAAGAAAATGGTTTCATGGTATTATAATCGTAAAATTACTCTTAACCAAGAAAAATTGTCTATTGCCATGGCAGAGAAAAAAAAGATATTAAACGAAGTTACCGAAACGGAGACGTATAAGAAAGCTAAAGAAATATTATTAAAATTTGCACCAGACGAATTAACCAATAACATGTCACCTGTAAGTACATTTACGTTGTTCTTGTATTTAAA